CTTAATCTTAGTATACAGTATAAATCTAATATATTATCTAAATGAGGGTTCTACTTGCTGAAAAAAATCTAAAATAAAATGTCTGAAGTAATATATTTAGTATTTTTATAACTGATTAACAGTTTAAGATTAGGAAATAATTTCAGCTAAATTTCCCTGCACTGAAAGTTTAAAAGAAATAGCTTTGAGTACAACATTTTGCTGGCTGAAAAAACTTCCCATCAGCCACTGATGATATTGCATGCACTTAACAATGGCTGGAGACTACAGATGGCTCTATACAACTTAATATCCAAGGTGCAGTCTTTGGATTCAAGGTATAGAAGGTTGAGTTGTGCTGCTATCTGCATAAAAACCCATGCACAAGATTTAGACAGATGTAGATAACTGTTTCAGCTTTGTTCTATTCAATTAGGTTTGATTTATTTACACATTTATACATTAATGAATAGCTTTTCATGATTTTGCTGCAAGGGCATGTATTCAAAGTGCTAGTACCAATAAAATTTCAACTAGTTTACATGAGGCCTATTGAGATATGATGTTCCATCAAAAATGCAGTTTGTATTACTGTTCTTAGATGGTAATGGTTAAATGAGTGGCATCTCTTTTCCTCCCAAAACTCATTTGTTGTAGGGTCTTAGGTATAGTCACTATTTATTTATCCTAGATTTGATGCTATTATCTGTTACGAGCTCGCTTTTCCCCAACTACAGTGTTAAAACTTAATGTATAAAGAGAATTAAATAATATTCTAGTTATTTTATTCTTGATGGATTTCAAAATAATGAACAGCTCTCTTTAATATTTGCAGGACATATTATGAAGCAAACAAGCAGCCTTTCCTGATTATAGTCTCTGCCAAAGACAGTTTTATCACAGTTTTCTGGGGCACTGTCATGATTTGTTGACTTTCACCATCACTACAGTGATGTTCTGGCTTCACTCCCAGAAGCCAACAAATGACTTACAGGATGTGCAAAAAAAAAAAAAAGGAAGATAGGGTGATATGTAGGGTTTTAATTAGAATGAATCTTTGGGAAAAACTTCATTGGAAATCTCATACGCTTCCAACAGGCCCTGACCAGTAGCATTTTTTTGGGGATTTTCATCTTAGTTTTTGAACGGATTCACATTAAACTTTTTTCAGCCTATGCTGAAGTTTAATTAGCAATACTGACAAATCTTGTGCACATTTTCCAATAATTATAAAAGGAATTTTTAGACAGAGAGTGCAATGCTATTGTAACAAGAAAAAAAATACTGCAGCATTTTTCTATGTAGAAAAGGTGCTACAAGGATTCATATATCAGCAAACATAAAATCCCAAAATATTCACCACTTTTGTGATATTCTTGATCATCTTTCTTACATCCTTCTTCTAGCAGGCCCATCTCTGATATTAACAGAAGGAACAAGCAAAGTAGGTCTATCAACTTTCATTATTTTCAAAATAAACAAAATAAATTACCTAAAAGAAGTCCAGTATTTGTGGCAGAAACAAGAGAGATTGATTTCTGCTGCTCCCCCAGCTTTATGGCTACCCTCATGACAGAGGCGACTGGCAGCCTTAAATAGGACATGACATGTTGTCCTCTTTGCTCCCCTATCCTTTTCAGGTCCTTCAGGGAATCTCAACACAAACGCCTTATTTCAAGGAAATAATTTGTTTCTGCCTCTGGCAATTCTCTTTGCCTTTCATCTACTCATTGTTATTGTCACTTTTGCTCTTTTCATTGTGCTTGGGCAATGACATCAGTATTTCACAATTACTACTGAGAACCTTCTGCAACATATGAGAAAAAAAGAAAAAAAAAAACCCTTAGAGAACAATCACTCCACTTGATGCAATGAATTTTTTCACCTATCACGGCTGAAGTGTTGAAAACATTGTTCTAGAACAATTTTTGTATGTTCCAGATATTCACATGTCTGTCTAGCACAGGAATACTAGGGACAGGATAAGAGAGCAAAAAGTGACCCAAGCAAGAGTGCAGCAATAAACAATACACGACCTCATTAAAAATCATGGACTTGAAACAGCCAGTGTAACCAGGACCATGACATATGGTGCTCTGTGCTAAGTGTTGTCTGCTGTAATAACACTGCTTACACTATGGAAGTTTACCCCAGATATGTCAGTTTTTGCCACTTATTAACAATGCTAACTTTCTTTTTCTTAGCAAGCTGTTAAAACAATGACAGAAGACCCGTTAAAAACATGACTCCTCTCACAGAACACTTCACTGCCATATAACTGAGCAAGAAAACAACAGATATATAGTACTCATCTTCCCAAACTCCAAATCTAGGAGATGACATATGTGAGATACTTTCCTTACGATAAATGCAGCTCTCACAGAAAACAGGAAACCAGTTGGAATGCTTATTTATAGAGGATCAAAACCTTAGGGATTTGTAATGTCCTCTTTTTGTTGCTGTTTTTGTGTTTGGATTTCTTATTCTGGGACATTAAAATGTGTACAAACAAAATAGGAGATTAAAAGCGTGAAGACATAGCTTCTCACTTGCTGGCTCAGAGGTTATCTTTGATGTTACCCAAAGACAGATTAGAGAGTGTTTAGGGACAGACACCACCTTAAGCCATATATGCAGTGGTGAAAAAACGAATTTTTTTCATTGTCTAGAAGCTTGTTTTCTGATGTTATGAATTAAGATTAGCATAAACTCTATAATTTCTCTGTCTGTATTAATTCAGTAAAATTTTCATTAGCAGCTCTGAATTGTATTCACATCTTTTTGTCTAGCAAAAAAGACATGAGCAGAAGCAACAGCCTTGAACTACACCATCTGTATTCTTATATGTCTTGTGGATCTGATTAACAGCTTCTTGCTATCAGAGAGAACAAAGGAGATGTCAAAACCATTCTCTAGAATCTTCCCATGGCATTCACCATTTCTGCCAAGAGCGTGATTATCTGTGATACAATATCAAAGGTCCAAGTGCATCAGTGAATGTACTCGACTCCTTCCTGAGGGAGGGCATACCAGTTGGTAAAACGTACACATGCATTTCCTTTATCACCTCTGGTTGTTTTTTGGCAAAGTTTTGTTTGGTTTTTTTTTTTTAAACCCAGATTTCTTAATCTTTTTGATATTTAACATGCAGGTATTAGCTAAACTGAAATACAGTTGAGATGCACTGTCTACAAATATTGGTACGTATCTCTGTTGCCAAGACGACATTGCAGAGGATGAAGACACATTAGAGACAAAATGGGCATTGACTAGCAGGTTTTAAAAAAAGCAAAGTCTGCAACTGCAATACGATCTAGTATACCACAGAAGGTTCAGATATGAATTGATCAGTCTGGTTCATATTTGGGAATATTTCTGGTTTTTGTAAGAATTTTGTATTTAATACTGCTGTCCATCTTCTCGCTTTACCTAGATTTCCTGTAGCAGTGGACAACAACCTGGCTACAGTTACTGCTCACATTGCCTCTTAGCTGAAGTAGAGGAATAAATATAATAGGATGTAAATCTTCCAGCACTTAGAAATAATTAAACGCTATAAAAGACTGCAGGCTTCTCCTCAAAAATAAAGACTGCACATTTGGTGTAATAAACACAGTACACCCATTATTAATGTTGACTTTGCAGAGAAACAAAAAATCCAATTCAAGAACAGCCTGGCCTAGGAACCCAAAATGCCTAACTGCCCACATGAGAACAGAGATCTGCAGTTATTGCCCTCTGATACGCAGGAACTTTTTAAACTTCAAAACCAGATCTGTACTTAAAACCTCTACACTGCAGTGACAAAACCGGAAACAGACTGCACATATTTGGCTTTCTGAAGAAAAGGTGTTTAAGCATTAATAGTGGTCATACTCAATGTACCACCCACAGAACACTGCAGATTTTGTGACGTTAAAATGATCAAGAAGATGATTCACAGGGCTAAGTATGCAAGCACTGTGTACTGATTGTTGGGGAAAAATCTATAGATTCAAAATTCACAGCATGTATTTCTCTTAGGACAATAGTCAAATAGTCTAGGACACTATTAATGCTCTTACAGTCCCTTGATTAAATAAAAAAATAGAAGGCCAAACCACTAAAGAAATACATTTGCATACCCAATTCTAATAGAGTGTTACAGTAATGCTTGTAGCTCAGACCTACGATTTGTAGGTAGAAGAAACCTCTTCTGTTCCCATAGTGTAGCAAATTTTTTTGTGAACAGAGGACTTTTGAACAGCAGAAATTACTGTCACTGAGTATTCCCAGAGCAGCTGAATGTCAGATTAATTTAAAAGTTTATCATCTTGTTTTTCAAATAAAATGCTTTTTTTTTCACTGAACAATGTCACTTATACAGTAGAAAAGAATGCACCTGTATAGAAATACTGAAGTCAGTGTGAGAACTCAAATGTTGAAAACAGAAGTATTAAGTTAACCTCTTACTGACATGCACCAAGGCATGAAAGTTTGCTATTCAGAATAAAATTTACTTTGGTTCCAGTGCAAGGTAAGGTAGGAAGTAGGCTGAGGTAGATAGAGATATTAGACATTAAGAGATTCTAAAAAGATATAAATTAGTGTGTAAATACACATCAATATCCCATATAGGGATATAAAATGCCACTTAAAAACAACCCTTTGTTTTGCTTGGATCTGGACACAAAAATGCATAATAAGACTGGACCAGATAGCAATGTATACTCAGTGGAGTGGTCAAATGCAGACAAGAGAACTGGATTTTGCTGCTTAACAAAATTCTTCTGGTTCAATGCTGGTATTTTTGAAAATCACCTCATGGCCTACCATTGGAATAGAGCTACATCTTAGCAATGCAAAGTAAAAAAAAAAGAAGAAGAAATACTAGTGAAAGGAATTCACAATACACTTTACAGTGCAAATTACAAAAAATACAATAAAATAGAATACAACTACCCATACTTGCTTAAAATCAGTTTATCAATTTAGGATTCTAGTGATCCTACTGAAGGTAATGTAAAACACACAATGTGCTATTGATTTGAACGGACTGTGCTTTTTAATTTACATTGACCTAAAATGCGATTAACGAACATTACTTCCACGTCAATGGTGCCTTGAAATCTCAACTTTTATACGCAAGTTCAGAGGTACATCATCTGGGATTGGCACACACAGTAAGATAAAGTGAGATATGATAGAATACATTTTCCTTAAGTTACACTAACAACTATTTGCAATTCTCCCTCAGGATATTTAATCTATAAAAACAAGCTTAACTTTCAAATATTTGTAGTCATGATATATTTCTGATAAATGGTAATATATTTCTGATACATGAAAGTATTTTGTATATTTCTGATACATTAGGGTTTTTTGGAAAATAAATTTCTCTAATCTGCAGAGGAAACACAGCTTAGGAACTGCTTGTGTAAATCACATAGTATCTTCCAATTTCTAAGCCTTCTTATTTCAGGAATGCACAGAATTACTCAGACAGCTTTTTCTCCACCTCCCCATACTCAGTGCATATCACTTTTGGGCACAGAATAAAGAAAAGAGATAAGCAAACAGTTCTTCTTTTATGGTAAAGCAAAAGTTGGCTCAGTTACACAGATAATGGAAGGAAAAAAAATATCATGGTTTAATTTTTTTATATATTTTCTTCAATTTATTAATAATCTTTTATATTTGTTTATTTATGGCTTTGAGCAAAGACAAAAAAAATCTAACTCATCCCTGATCATACAATTATTGTAAGAACCAGATCTATAGTCTTCCCAGCAGCAGTAAGATCCAACCTTTTTCATTAATACATTTCATCTTGTACAGATGTGAGATTTCATACTTATGGGCCTACTTATGTACAGAGAAAATAGGTCACTTCTGAAACTAGCAATGGACCTTTATATTACAGGAATGTGAGTCATTTGTTTCTTAATCTAAGTATATATACATTCATACATACATATATATATATACGTATATAATTTTATACCCTGTACCATTTTTTTTTAATTAACATACAAATCCTAGATATTGTCCACTCTATTACAAAGTCATTAAAAATTATTTATGGTTTCACTGAAAGACCATGTGAATTAATATTTCTTCATAGTGCTTAAAATAAAATAAAAATATATATAAAAATATTTTGCTACTAACCCCATTTCTCCTATTAAATGTAAACCTTAAACAGTTTTCAAGATCAGTATATGATCTTAATTAACTGACAGAATTTGTTAGCATTAAAATAATATAAGGGGTATTGTACTCATAAATAAATGGTCTTGCAGCGTATCCATAATGTTTGAGACACTTTTTTAAACAATCATTTCCCCATTTCCACTCCAGGTCACTTAAATTAATGGCAGCAGCATGTTAGTGGGTTAATTACATCGATCTTTACTGGTGAATGTGAGTCAGCAAAAAAAATGGACGATTTTAAAAAATTTTATTTGATGTACCACTTTAGTAAAAGGTATAACAGGCAGCATGGGTTCAAGCTCTGTTAGCTTTAGAGAATTTACTTGGCTCTCAAGTACATCTGGATTCACTGCATTACGTAGTTTGTGATGTTATTTAATTTTTCCATGCATTGTTAAACTCAGCATTGATGGGAAGAGGAGAACTCCTTTGCATCCATTTCCTTAACAGAGTCAGCTGGGTTTTAAGGAACAGAATATATGCTTGTATCATATCCATAATGCTGATTTTTCAGTGAGTTAAATTATGACACATTTAGTTTCAATCTCTATTTAATGTGACAAATCAGGCACAAACGATTACGAATTTTTTTTCTTTTTTTTTTTTTGTGGATAAGATAATGTGAAGGTTTGAGCAAACAAAACAAAATGTTCACAAAACAGTATGCTTTAACCCTGCTTTCTGTCACCATTCCCTTTCTGTTTTGAAGACATAAAAAATAATAAACCTCATACCTATGGGCTATGTTTGACACTACATGCCTTAGGATATACTAACCATTTAATTACAATATACACAGAGCAAATCGTGCATTTCCAGACAGACTTGATGCTATATTATATTTATTTTTGTAAATTAACACCACAGTCAACTACAAAACTACAGTGAAGACACAGAAAGCACCTGAAAGTCTAAATCAAGCTGTGGTTTACAAATAATCCTTTAAATGAAAAACCTCACTTCTAGACTTAAACCAGAGATTCAAAGTCAGCATTATAGGAATTTTAAGGTAGACACAATTAATGAATGGTTATTATTTTCTAAGATACCGTAAAGCCTTTTCCTACTGACCAAACCTATTTTTATTGTCTTTTTTTTTCCAAAGCATGCATGGAATATTCTCAGATGCTATTGAGGGCAAGAAGAAGAAAAGTGATGGTATTGGTGAAGTACAAGCGATTTGCAGGATCAAGCGTACAATTTTGCATAAAACATTGCATGTCAAAGTAACATTGTAGGTTTTAAGCCATTGCATTACAATTTAACAGTTGTGTTGCACTTAGCTTTAACAAATTTTAAAACTGTAAATTTTGAAGTGAAAAGCGGAACCTAAATTCCTAAACAAAGACCTTGCAATGGTACACCACACAGCATCTATTTTTGCTTGGGTCAAAAAAGTTATTTACAATGGAAATATATTTAGTCTTTGAAAAGTCTTTAGCAGTGTGAAGATCAAAGTCCACCCAATTCCCTTAGACAACAGAAGGGTTGACATGCCATGAGGTTACAACTTATCCAGAGGAGTGCTAGTGCCTCCCTTTACACTGCGGGTGTTTGCAATATAATTCTCTTCCAATCTAAATTCCAATGGATGGTGCTAACATATGAAATGCAATGTGAAATAACAACTGAATTCTTCACAAGAAATTAACAACGCATACACAATAAATGAAGTAACAAAGGTTTCAGAATATCACTCAGTCAGTGCTATGTGTTAGTTAAATTGATGGTTTTCTTTCCTTTTTTTTTTTCTTTTTTTAAATATACTTGTTTGAAGTTTGCTGTTGTGTTGACAAGTTCCCCATGAAAACAGCCAATCTCATAAACAGAGAAATCTGTTAGGCTGATTTTAAAGTCAACACATTAAAAATAAGTAATATTAGCGCTAATTTTAATCTTCTGCAATGGTTGCAAAAAGGAAGACGTGAACTCAAACAAGTTTTTTTAATTGCCTTTATATATATATATTTAGATATATATATATATAAAACTTTTACATTCGTTACATAGGGCAAAGCTGTCTAAATTATTTTTCTGATAGCAGACTGCTGGGGCACATTAGGAAACAGGCTAAAACAGTTCGGGGGATGGTGCTCGGTTTGTTGCAAGTCTATTGCTCACAGTCACCAGGGATCATAAGTTTGAGGCGAACCGCGGTTTGTCTCCCTCGGGCTCTGTGCTTAAGACTGTGGAAGAATCCCTTTGCAGCGGGGCGGCGGGCGGCGCGGCCCCGCGGTTCGGAGGGATGGCTCCCGAGGACATCTGCCGGAACAGCGAGACCCGCTGCGGCACGGTGGCCCGGCCGCCCGGGGGCACGCCGGGGCCCGGCGCGGGCTGCGGGAGGGAGGCGAGGGACTCCCCCACGGTGGGGTGAGGCCTGGCGATCAGGGTGGAGATCTCGTGGGGCAAGGAGGGCTGTGAGGCGGACAGCGGCCGCACCTCCCGCGTCAGGTTGGTGTTGTGGAGGGCCTGCGTGCTCTTGTGCACCTCGTTCTTCTGCGCGGCTCCCGGCGGCTGCTGCGCCGCCTGCGGCTGCTGCTGCTGCTGCTGCTGTTGCTGCTGCTGCTGCTGCATGAGGGAGAGCTGCGAGGCGGTCGGCGAGGCGTACTGGAAAGTTCGGCCGGCCAGCGGGCTCTGTACCGGCGGGCTGCAGACGGCCGTGGTGTAGGAGCAGGGCGACAGGATGACAGCCTGCTGTGGCGGCTGCGTGCTGGGCGAGGGCGAGTGCAGGTTGGTGTGCGAGAGGCTGCTGCTGGTGTACACCGGAGGGGACTGCGTCCTGCCGCGCGACGACGAGGTCGAGGTGCTGGAGTTGAGGGCTGGCAGCTGCTGCAGGCTCACCGGGGCGATGGTCTGCACCATCTCCCTGTCGTGCTTCACGATCTGCTTCAAGATCTCATTCTCCTGGTTGTTGAAGACGCCGGTGTTGAGGTCTTTCTGGAACTTCTGCAGCAGGATCGAGTTCTTCTTCCCTTCACAGAGAGGCAGAAGAGTTAGTGAGTCCGAGGTGCGGAGGCAGGGCCCCGCTCTGTCTTTGTGTTCCAGCACCCATCGCTGAGGACTGTGTGTTGTAAAAGCCTCAGCAGGCAGCGGGTGGCTGAGCGGGCATGGCTCGGCCGGCCAGCCCAGGGCCGGAGGGGGCTGTGAACCGCCGGCACTGCCGCAGCTTCCCGCGGCTGTGCTCCGCATGCAGCCCGCCCCGGCCCTGTCCCCGCCGCGGCCCTTCGGAGCCCCGCCGCGCTCCGGCACCGGGCCTTGCTCTGCCCCCTCACCTGCAGCTCACTGCTATTACTGCAATTACATGTAAGAACCGTCATTTCCTGAAAAATTGTCAGAAACAGTCATCGTGCTCTGCACCTACATCATCTTTCTCGTTGCAAAACTGTCTGAATTTCCACTAAACAGTAACAGATGTTAAGAGCACATCTGCCATCTAGCATATTTCTGGTGACTAGTTATTAGATATCATAATAACCAGTGTTTTTAAGTGTTTGTGAACTAATATGAACTCGTGGATAATATGACACCTGCTTGCACAGTGAAGACTTCTGTACACTGTGACCTGATGTCTGCATGATGGCTCACAGTGTCTGTAAGATGTAGACGCTATTCTGTCTGAGTCAGATGCTTGGGAACACAATGGCACTAAACTGCCTCTTTTTTTTTTTTTTTTCGATAAAACATTGCACTTCAAATGGGATTGCTACTCCAAGAACAAACCGGAGCTTTAGTGCTAATATTTTTCAAGAACATAATACTTAGAGCTGGACTGCAAGACAAATTATCTTGCAAGACACATTGTACAAGTTTAATGCATTGAGTTGATCTGGAGAAGTCCTCAGACTGAAATTTTCTTGTGATGTTGCAGAAACACCACCAAACAGGACAAGTGACTTTTTTTTTTTTTTTAACAGCTGTATTTTAAAATGAGTGCAAATAATGATGATCAGAATGCAATTCTCTTGACTGAAGACTTTATGCTTTGCCTAGTATGTCCTGTTTGGAGGTCCCAAATACTGGAACAGCAAATTACACCTTCTGATATGATAATCTGGCATACCCTTCTGCCTTTCACTTGCATGCCCTTCTGCCTTTTACTTGCATATTATTGGACTGCTTTTCTGATTGCAGGCAGATCTGAGCAGTGCCTGTGTGCAGCCATCAAGGCTAGCAGTGCCCATGTTGTGAGGAAAATGAGAGCCCTGCTGCAGAGGATTAATTCACTTCAACAAACAATGGGTTTGTGAGTGCTGAGAGGCTTCAGCTCTTCCCAGCATTATAGATGTCATCCGTAAGCAATTTATTTAGGAAAATGTCATCTACTGCTCGTGACACAGCATAAATCCTATCAAGTGCTGAAGGCAGCAAAAGAAATCTACCGGATTAATAAATAATACTAATGATAATTAAAGTATGAAAAATAATCCTCAGAGGAGTACAAGACCTTTCTAAAACTCAGTGGGTTTTATTATTTAAAAGTGAGACTGCAAAATTCTTGTCTGCACACATGTTATTTATAGATCAAGAAAACATTTACTGCAGCATGACAGAAAAAAACTTTTAAAGAGGGCTATTTTATCATGCAGCTCAAGGGAAAGAAAATGGATTTTAAGAATTAATCATATGCAAAAAAATGAAATAAATACCTATCCTGTCAAGTCTGTCAATTGCCACGGTTTCGAAGGCCCTTCTCATCATGGGGTACTCTTCCAGGACCTCGTTGAAGTTGTCCACGGAGAGGGAGTACAGGCGACAGTACGTGTCTGCTCGTACGCTGGCAGTTCGACGGCCCTTGGTTAATAAGCAGATCTCTGGGGAGAGAAAAATTCAGCACACACTGAAAACAAAGAAGTTACTGAACCATGTGAAACTTTAAAGGTGGAAATTGACTCTGTGCTAACAAGTTATAATTTAGTACTCAGCAGCAATTTTTCTATTTCTGCTTACGTAAGGTTGCAGGGACATTTCTGAAGGTATTTGATTCTATTTTTGTGACTCTGAAAAAGTAATTCATGTCCTTTAAGAGCCCTGCCTATAGGTTTTCTTGGTATGAACTCTTATTTTATGAAGCCTTTTTAAAATAGTGCTTCAAGTTCTAAGAAATGATACATCGGCTGTCAAACACAGCTTGATGACTTTCACTAACCCAAGTGCTGAACTAACACAAGTGATTCTGTTGGTTTTTTTTAAATATACAGCTGCTATAGAGGACCAATCCCTTTAAGCATTCACCAGATTTACTGAACTAATGCAATACATGATATCATGATGTAATGATATTTGAATATAAGAATTGTTCTGAAAAAAAAAACCTTGAAGCATGAACATGCCTTCTGTTTCCTTGATCTTTATGTCCTAGGTATTTTGGGGAGAGAAAACTTACAACTTCTGAACTTTTTTCTCATTAGATTAAAAAGTGGAATTCATATGATTAGTCTAGTAGCCTTTCTCTGCAAGTGCCCCCAACAGGAATTCATTGTTCTGGAATACTGGAAACTGAAGCTAAGAACAGCCCCAAACTTCTGACTTCTAATTCTTCAACCCACAGTATCAGGGCGACTGCAATAGAGGCCAATGTCAATGTCTGAGGCTTGTATCAGCAAAACACATGGTGTAAAATATTTATTTACTAAAATACAGAAAATTAAAAACTCATTTGCAAAAAGTAGTGTTTGAGTTCATCTTATTTTCAAACTTAAGACTAAGAACACACTTAGAAATACTGAGAATTCTTGAGCTCAAGCAGGGTGAGAGACAGTTTCCCTACTCAGTTCCAGCAGTCAAGGGCTGAGAGTTCATACTTCATATTTAAATACAAAAGTTGGAAACTGTCTTCTACCTTGCTTTTTTGTCCATTACATGCTCAATTTCAATCAAACTATCATTTTCAAATGGAAAACTAATAAATAATTCTGGGGACTTCAGTTCTATAAAGTACCAAGCTAGTTCTTGGTTTGGGGTATTTTTGCTATATGTCTTTAAGAAACGTATTTTCTATTAATCTAGAATATGAAGAACCTTGGTTTTTTTGTCACATACTTCTTGAGGAATTTCCACATGCTATCCAACCCTGAAGGCTTAGGGGATAAGATGCTTAAATTACAGTGGATAAATCAAAGTAAATTAACATTGGACCAGTACTAGTACAGAATGTACTTAAACCCCAACAGCTTTGGGGACAATTTATAGAGACTATTGGGAGGGTAAAATACAGAATTTATAGAGAATGCTGGTAACAGACTTGACCTAAAGTCCCTCACAAAACTTGATGCCCATGAAATAATGACAGTTTACTGTAAAGAACCAGCCAGGTATAACAGAAGTCAGTCCTTTCCTTTTCTCACTCCTAGCTTAGCTTGACCTCTTCTCCTTAGATTGAACCCACTGCATTTTAGTTAGTTTAGAGAAGGACATTTTGCCCAAAGGGAGCAGTCAAATGCAGACAATACCTGTTCTATCTCCTAAGATATTCTTTAGGTCTCAAAAATGATAAAGCGTTACAATGCATGGTTGAATTTAGAGAAAATTATCAGGAAAGTCTGTGTGACTAATGATCACCTATTGATTTTCAGCTCTCTTCAATTAAAATTGCTGCAAACAATAAAGATACATAAATAGGTGTCTTCTGCTACTCTCAACAAATACTTGAGTATAAAAAGTATCAAATGCTCCCCAAAAACCCAGCATCTCCTAAATCCCTATCATCCTGAAGAGTGCAGAAAAAATTAGAGAAAGTACAGTTTTCATCATTAATAGTCTTGACTACTGTATTTAGATTACTTAAACAAGAAGAATGGGAAGAAACCATAAGAGACAATGTTAGGCTTCATGACAGGACAATGGGACCATAGAATTCATGGATATTACTGAACAAATAATTTCTTTTTCTCTTCTGCTTCTTTCATCTTCTATTATTTTTTGTCAAGGTGAAGGGAAAAAATCAATGAAAACTCCAATGTGCAGACTCAGTCAGCCCACAACTTCTGGTTGAAGACTATAAGTCTGGAAGGCTTTTAATATCTGTAATCTTACTAGTTAGATAAAATAATAAACAACATGTCAGAGAAGATATGACAAATGTCCCAGTGCCCAGAAAATGGTCAGGGAGTGCTGCTGTGGAGCCTGCCTGCTCAGAAAGCAAAGACAGCTTTGTGTTCTCAACTCCAGTTGAATGGTCTGAACTACAGTTTCCTTAAAGAAAAAATACTGTAAATGAATACCCACATACTGCATTTCCTGTAGTATTTCTTGTCTGATTAGAACTGTATTGTAGTCACTGATACATTATCTATATTGCCTTGTAATATGTATCAATAGCATCATTTGTAGTTTGTTCATAAAACTAAAGTGTTTGCTAATTGCATGTGTTAATCTGTCATCTATTTGTTTGGACAGACCCTCAAGCATAATAAGAAATAATATTTGAAATCTTTCTTACCAGGACCAGAGAGGAGGAACACAGAATACTGAAATGAGTTCCTATTAAACACTTGTGTTCATTTAAATAAACCAAAGTGTTTGTTTTTCATGAAAATAATAAAGTAATGAAAACCGCCATGACATATTTAAAATGAGCCTTTGTGGCATCAGGTACACCAGGTGCCCTTAATAATTACACTCTCCTTGATGTTCAATTGATTTAAAAAGACTAGGAGATACAATAATAGCATAGGAGTGTATAGGGGAACACAAAAGGCATAGACTGTTTTTAAATAACTTGGATAAACAAGGTGCTCTATTAGCATAAAAATAAAGTGTCAGCAGCATATTACTCACTAATATTACTATGTGCATTTGGCATGGTGCATTGCCTTCATGCTGACACTTTCAGTGTGTGAAATATTACTATCTTTCCTTTCCAAACAAAAGAATGTCTTAAGTTCCATAGGCTAAAAGGAGCCTGTAATTTAATTCTAAATGCAAATTTTACTTTAATTATTTAATCTCTGTCAACAACTGTTACCTAGAACATTGTGAAACAATTGTCAATCACTGAACTAATGAAAAATGACTGTTTGAAAACACAGAATGATGCTAAAAACATTAATTTGTTCTTACAGTCCAAGTTTAATGAAAATTTAATTAATTCACTTGTGAAAATCATAATTTGTGGTCTGCAAGGATCAGGTCTTTCCCATGTAAAAAGACAGCCCTCAAAGGAATATGGAAATGGGCTCAAATACAGTGTACTTTCTGCTGCGAAGTCTCTAACTGAAATGTGCAATGATAGAAGTTTAAAGCTAACCTTGTTCGGAAAGTTGTAATAATCAAAATTGATCACTAACATATCAGTTGCACACCTGTGTGGGATGTGGCTGTATGATGGAGTTGTTAGTGCTGGGTTAACGGTGGTACTCAGTGATCCAAAGGTCTTTTCAATCTAAGTGGTTCTATGATTCTGTGGCAGGATTTCAGCAAAAGCTGGATCAGGTTCCAATTTTTGGAACTATGAATTTCTAAAGGAGCTTGCCTGTATCAGTTTCTCATAAAACAGGGAATGCATAGGTTGTGTTTTACTATTGCATTAATTTGACAGAACACTCTCCATGGGAAATTCTGCATCTCTGAAAGACAGCAATAAGGAAGGCTGATTTCAGGAAAATCTGAATGAGGTAAGGTGAGTGACATAGCCCACGGTATGAATTTTAAAGAATAGGATTAATAGATCTTTTGTAAGGATCAAGTTTTGATCCTGAGACCAGGTTTATTGCTCTTATGGACTGTACTGATATGCCACTATAGGAGATAATTTTTAGCCCTCCTCTGTTGCTACATGATGCCTAAACACCTTTTTGAGAAAATAAGGATATGGGGATGTATACGTAATGTATTTTGTACCAATCTCCCCCAGATCCGTGTATATGAATGTGGGGGAGATTAATGACTAGTAGCATGTATGATATTCATCTCTTCTTTAGTCTTTGCTGAATGGGTATGTATGTATCTACTGGCCATCCTAGCAATAACTTCTGGTTTCCATTTTATACAGAAAATTTTTAGGTAAGAAAATTCCTTTTTTTACTCTGAGAAGCAATACAGTTTCTGTGAGAGTGTATACTTGTCCATTCATCATCTGTTCATTTTACATACCATTTATATTCCAGATGTAATTACTCTACCTCATATGTCACATTAACATTTGATTACAGAAAATCTACAGAAAAAATGTGCCCACCAATTGTGTTGATAAAGGTAAGCTATGAGTCCAGTAGTTAGCAAGTTTACAGAAGGACACCAAGCCAGTCATGTCTGCATGGACCATATTTCTTAGCTTAGGATGTCACATTGTATGAACAGAAAATTCTTACAATGAACTACCGTATGTGCATCTTTGTCTTGCAAGGATAAAGTTAACTTTACTAGGTGCAGAAATTAAATTTGTGTAGTAAGGAATGAATGAATTCAACAGTATTTCAGCTATATAGTGCCTATATTAAAAACAACTAAAAACAACTAACAGTTTTTATACATTTCTGTCCCCTTCCAAAGCTGTGTGATTTCCCATAATCTGTTAGATTAAACATTTCAGGATCTAGTGAGAGATCCTTTCAACTGAGGACAGCTGACTACTGCTTCAGTTCCTCAACAGCAAACTTGTTCTTGTTGTGGGCATATAGGTTGCTCTGCGTGCTGTCAGATCTTCAGGCTGACTACTTCCAGCAGCAGAAGAAAGATGGAAAGTCAAAGCAATTCAAAAGCCTGGGTCAGTCAGTCTAACAGACTTGGGAATATTTTTTTAAGAACAGGACAGTGGATTAGAATATAGTTTATTTTATACAGAGCAGAACTACCACAGACAAATGTCTAAGTG